ACTGGGCCTCAGGCTACCGGGGCCTACTGGAAGCTTCCTGGACTGGACGCAGGCAGGCCACTTCGATATAGGGAAGGGCCTGCCTCCTCATTCGAGATTCGGGTGCTGGCTGCATGCTGCGACAGCACTGCTGCGCTATTTGCTGGCTGGCGCCCTCGCACTCACGGGCGAGTGAGGAAGAAGCAGGCAGCCATAGCCACGCTGCCTGCTGTTTGCTAGGTGGGGCGCTGGGTGGTCCTTGGGTGCTAGAGCCATCTGTGTGGTAAGGATCGGGGTTGAGAGCAAAGTGGGAGACATACCTGGTGCTTGAGACGAGCGGCATTGGCCGCATATGCTCGTACTTCGGTGAAGCTGTTGACGTCAACTTCGGCATTGTAGTAGTAGGCTAGATAGGACCTGCCATCTTGTGGTCTGGGCGCCGAGCGCCAGTAGGATATCAACTCTTGTTCTTTGTTGATGATGATGGGAGACAACTTCAGCATTGTCAATCACGAACTATTGCTGTGTTCTTATTGGGTGAAACTCGTGATGCCATTCTGCTTATGGTTCGAGGTCATGGCTATCTGGTATCTTATGTATGATGCTGTTTGCGTTCTGGAGTTCGCTATTGCTCATCTTCCTTGCACTTCGCGGAGATGATACAAGGATTTCATCTCTTCATTTCCTATGTTGGAGAAGATAATGCCCTCAGAACGACATTCCTCGAAGTACAAACGCACATGCTCATCCTCGTCGAGCTCCCGATGCTTATAACAGCGACGAAAACCATAATAGCTTGACGTTGTGACTCTTGGAAGCATTGTAGGAACATCGCCGTGTGGCTTGTACCGTTCTTCGATGACATTCGCATCCACAATTTCCAGCCTTGTCTGGTCATCTCGATCATCCGGCGTCCTGTGAGCGTTCTCACCTACAGCTCTGGCGATCAGGGAGCCAGTCTGACGATCGCTGACCTCAGCGTACCAAGCATCCAACTGGAAACTACGACCGGTCAGGATCATTCGTAGTGGGAAGTGCCGCCCATCGACTCCCACAAGATCAAAATCAATCAGCTGAGCATGGGTCATGCTCGCCGAATAGTCGTTGTGAGGAGCACTTGTTCTGCAGACTTGAAACAGTTTCCTTGCAAGGGTCTCATCACACTCATGGGTGACATCCATCCCTGACCGCCGGAACAATCGCCTCAACAGCCGCATGGAATTGGAGAGTGCAAACTTCACCATGCACAGACCAACCAATCGGGCGACATCGGAAGTATCGAAGCAATGATAGCAGCCCAACTGATAACCCGTCTGAGCACCAAAACAACGATAACAACCCAACTGATAACCCGTGGTCTGTGCGAGACGGTCACGGAAGGCATCCTCTCCCTCCTCGAACTTGCCGAATGCAATGATGTAGTCACTCGCCACGTCCACAGCATCACGGCAATCTGAAACAAGTGCAGTATCTTCTTCCGTTGCATTGCAAAAATTAACAAACTCGCTGCTGAAGGTTTCACGATCCCTCATCAGGAGATTGACATTTCCTGCTCGCAGCAAGAATTGGCCTATCTTCTCAAAAACCGGATGCTTAGTCACGGCCCCAGAGACATCGAGGCCAGCCAGTTGGAGAGGAAGTACGTGATATTTCTCAAACACGCTGCCGTGGAAAGCACGACGGAAATTGAGAATGGCAATGTGACCATGCTCTTCTTCATCTTCAAGCCCAACCATGGGTTTTCAGATTACTTCCTTATCCTTTTGACCACTCGGTTAGTTGGATTAAAATCTGCAAGGGACATGATGCAGCCATGAGAAGATTGCTTGGTTGCTGTAGAACTGCTGTCAGAGAAAAGGGCATGAGACTGTTGACCTAACATTGCCACAAATTTCCTATACACTAAACTTATAACAACACATCCCTTCAATGACATACACTCGTGGATGGCTGACTAGCTGCAGACATGAGGAGGAGCCAGAGGAGCCTGAGGAGCCTGAGGAGCCAGAGGAGCCAGAGGAGCCTGAGGAGCCTGAGGAGGAGGAGGAGGAG